GACATTTCTTAACCCTTTATGGTCTCGCGTAGCTTTCAGGTCACATTCCAAATTTTTCGTTATTTTACCAAATAATTATGGCTTTTGTCGTGATATGATGTATGAATCTTTATTTTATAACTTTGTCAAGATAATCAATATCAGTATTTATGACCTTTGCTGGGATTTTCAACATGAAATAACATATTTCATTGATACAAAAAATATATATATAAACAGAATTTTTTGTTATTCATTTGCGTATATAGGCTTATAATTACTGATTTCTTGTATCCCTAAATTTTAATGTAAAACAAATTAGTTCCATAGAGGATTAAATAGAACATAATTCTATTCCGGTGTTTTTATATGTAAAAAATTACAATGAGTTTCCATTAATTCTCTGCTTATTTATTATATAATTATCTTCTACTTCATTTCGTCGTATCTAATTATAACCAGATTACTTGTATCCACTCCTCGTGTTGTATATTTAAAATAAAATTATTTTTGTGGTTTTATTAACTGCTATCTGAGCATTATTTATTGTTTTCCACGGTGAATACGGCACGCGTATCTGACCTAGATACTATAATTACACATTTATGTTGCTTTCTAACAATGTTTATTAACCTAATATCCGAAAGCGGATAAGGGGCTTCGTCTTCGTAGCTATGAGACATTTATTCCCTTCATCGCATAATTGAGTATAGAGAAATTTTCCTATTAAATATTTCCAACTAGTTAGAAACTGTATGTATATAACACGCTTTATATTATCGAAAATGTATTAAAATATTGCCAATATTTAGACCATAGTTATGAACAACAAAATAGTTTATAACGACTTTTATTATCGGAAATATGTAACACAACACAATTATCACAAGGTTTATGAATATAATATAGCATAATTTTTTAAATAAAGTTAACAAAAATCTTCGTGAAAAATACATGCCCCATAAAACAAAACTAATTGCTGGTAATTTACTTATGTTTAACTTACAGCAAAAGTAATGCATCTGTATACAAGAGCTATTATTGATAAAAATCGAAGGACAAAAAGTACCTTTGACTCTTTAAAAGCAATGCGGTCGATATATCGTGTTAATGTGCGGCGTTGACTCAATGCAATAATGGAAACTTGTTCAAACAAACATACTTTCTTTCTCCCTTTGGTATAGTTTATCTGTTATGATGACTATCTCTACCGTACCCAGTTTTTTCTACATAAAATATTAAAAATTAACAAAACCAAATACCCATTCGAGATTTGGTACAAATACATTTCATCAAGTAGTATATTTTGTACATTCATAGTTACTTCTACATTTTAACGTACCATGTAAAGAAAGTAATTATATTCACAGTAGTTATTGATGTAGAACTACAATTAACTTAATGATGTAGTTAGTTTCACTTAATTATTATACAATTACTGTACAAATACTATTATGTGCTCACTAGCTCCATGTTCTCGTTGTAATTCCTAATTGATGCTTAATTTATGACAAACTAAATTAAGTATTTATCATGAACTGAAATCAAATTTCAGTTTAATTTATCATATTTATCTTTTACATAATCATTCTATTTTAACATAATATTTTATTTTAAAAAAGACTGCAAAATCTTAATTAAAGATTATACAAGTGTTGATAAATCATATTTCTCTTTTGCATTTTTATTATAACGTTAATCGCCACGATATCAGAAAATTTTACACATGAATCAAGAAAACTTATCGTATCGAAGAAAATAAAAAAAATACTAAAGTTCCTGGAAAAACTTCATATATGAATATGACTGACATAGTTCTATATTAAAACTTTTTTTCTCAACAAGCCAAAAATTTTGCAGGTCAATTTGATAGACATCCAAAGTTGGTATGGCTTATGTAGAGAATTTTTTTAGTGTCAGACACATATGACTGACACGACGATCAGCCGATGGTCATAGTTGTGATTCTTGATTACTTTTTTCAAAATGCAATAAAATTTATTTTAGACCATTCGCTCTTGAAAGATTATTTATTTCTATTACGTCTATCAGAATATAAACGAAAAAACTAATATATTAATTAGTTATATTTATATTTTAATGTATTTACGCAGTAATTGTCATAATAAAATCTTGGAATTTTGATTAGCATTTCAATAATTTAGTTTCGATTATTGTTCTATTTATATTTTTTTATTATTAAAGCAACTTTGTGTTGCAATAGTTTAAGGGTGCTTTCACCACCTACGCTATGTAATTGTTTGAATTGGCCTACACCTCTGCACAAGTAACTTCAATTGCAGTGAGCAATAATCCTAAATCATTATATATACATACATATACATGTATATGTATACCTATATCTATACATCGAGTTTGTGTATCTATAAACTGTTAAACCCACGATTTGATATCGGAAATAGATTACCATATATCATTTACGCGAAGGTATCATAATCGCGAAGACATTTCTCACTAATTTCGATTAGCCAAACGGAAAACTTCGCAAGAGAAACGGATCACTTGTCAATGTCGATCAATCATTGTACGTCATTCGAGATGAACACAAATAACACTCAATCTCCACTTGGGTCTGAATGATTTGTTACTATAATTAATATGAACGTCACTATACAGACGATCGACTATCGTATTTGTTAAAATACATATAATTACATGCCGGTGTAAGCTGATCGCCGAGGGCTTTTAGAGGTGGTGGGTGGTATTACATATATAGGAGCATTTCTCGCGGAGAGTGTTTATTTATAAATTGATTCACTTTCATCAATTTATACTAATTTTAATTTCCACAGCTAATCAAATTGTAAAATAAATCTAAATGAGGGTGAAGAAAATTATTAGCAGGCTATAGAGTAGACTCAAAAGGACTTAACATTAACAGAAATATTCACCAAATATTCGTCGACAGTGTCAATTGTCAAAAAGTTTGGTTTACAACTACACACACACATATATATATATATGTGTATATATATATATATATATATATATATATGGGTGGTCCTTAACCAGGACATTTTCGAATGTCTTTACTCCCAAGGGCGCAAATACTTCCAAATGATTCAAAAATGAATCTCTAATAGTATTAGCTCTTAATATAAGCATTTAGATAGAGCGCACACAAATTAAAAGTTTATTATATTTGTTATTAGCATACGTCATTAAATACATTTTTGTGCCATCTGTACGTGAACTCAAATAATATGACACATAACAATATTTATAAACCACTTAACCTCTAATTAAATCCATGTTGGTTGTTCTCTAATATTTATTCATCATGGAATAAAGATAATAATTTGAGTTTCAACAGCACCAATTAAATAAATATTTTGCAGCAAAATTAATCTTGATTCCAGCGCGATACATCAAAGAAAAAAAAATCATTATGTTAGTGTTGCTGTTCTGTTAATTTTTCTCTTATATTTATAGTTTCTATACCAATCCACAAATCTTATAATAACCTGGTTCTAGCTAAATAATAAAAATAATAAGTCTAATCAACTTTCATATTTATTTTATAAATGTAATATTATTCAAAATAAAAATAAATTAAGCTAACTTTCCATTAGATAATTCAAATATTTTCAATATTTGAATACTATATTTTATCTAAAGCCTTTTCGAATAGATTAACTCTAAACTCTATTGCGTTCTCGAGTGATTATAATGTATTGATCGTAGACACGTAGCTCTGAAAACAATGTTGACTGACCCAATAACGTCTACGGCTGGCACTTGTGAAATATTGTGTCAGAAGTTTGTAACCATTTAATAACTTTATTTTCACAATATTTTGTTCAGCAATGGAATCTATTGTTATTCAATTTTGAAGACGTTCATATCCTTATGTCAACACGTTTGACTTCTTATTGTATTATTACTTTATTTACACTGGGTTGGGATATGAAAACTGTTTTTACACATTCATCATGTTCCACTATCATCCAAAATATGTATAAATACCTATAATTACATTTTTGACAATTGATGACATTTTTTATTACGATTCATGACTTTAGCATATTGTTATATAGTTTTTTATTTTAGTTAATGTTGTATATTATTCATTTTTTTTAGTTTTTTTTCCTCATTTAATTTAGCAGATAGTATTATTAAAATTGACACGCGATTTAAAGATCGGTTTTTGCAAAAAAAATTTCAATACTAGGAAAATACGACCAAATATTGAGTGACAATGTGTTCGTAAATCAGCCGAAATTATCCCTTTAATAAAGCATACAAGAATAGTAAAAAAACACAATTACAATTTTGATATTTTATTTTGAATTTTTTGTGAATTTACTTAATTCACATAAAATATTCTCCATTAAATATTTATTTGTGCAATGTAGATAATACTTTAGAATTTTTTCTAAAACTATATTTTTTCCACTAGTTTGTAAGTGAACTTTATAAATCATATATTCAACAGTGACGCGTGCACTTTACAATCGCAAAAATAAAGTTATATAGTTTAGTCTATAAAACTACTATACAATAATAATTTTTATTTTATTCTTCTTTTATTATAAAGATACATTTTATTGTATAAAGCTAAACTGTAGTCTTTTTATGATTGATGTTAACTCGTATAATATAATTGGTTAATACTGCGAATAATAATAAACCCTACAAATGGTAATAAACTATTACATAAAAAGCATTTCAAATGATATTCATAAAAGATTCAAAATAGAATTTTCATATACTGTAAATTATTTATTTTCTTCAAACACAATGGTTAGTGTCTGGGCCTTTTTTTCTTTTCTGCATTAATAAATAAAATATGTTGTGGATGATTCTTATGACATTTTTTATGCAATACGGCGCCTAAGTTTTGGACTTTTGGTTTAGGCGTCAAATTAGAGTAGAAAAATGTACTATTTAAGAATTACACTTCTGCGAACAAATACAATACTGGTTTATTAACCAATTTAGAATTGTTAAGTATAACTATGATTAATAAATAAACTAATAAATTTTCTCTTCTATTTCAGCCAAGATATTATTCTTCTACATATGTTTCTATTCGGTACTGACGGGTTTCTTTGCCGCAATGTTAGCGGTGTTTTATCAAACGTTGGACAATAGGATGCCTAAATGGCAACAAGACAATTCGCTCATCGGCTCTAATCCAGGTAAGAATAATAATAAACAAAAATATCATTTTTTATTTCGTTTTACAAAAAATATCTGTAATGAAATGTAAACTATTTTCTAAAAATTTAAACAATATTTTGTATAAAAAAATTACATCAAACTGTGTAAAACTCAAGTTTTTGTTAACACAATCTACATATTAAGTTTGCTATTAATTTTTGAGTCTGAATATGTAAGTTGAATCATGACATAATCAATTTTCAAATAACCGTTCTATTAAAATAATAAAATATCTTGTAGCATGAATATAAAAGCGTATATGCATACATAAAATTAATATATTCAAGTCGATCAGTATATGTATTCTGAAATACATCTCTCCTCTCTTTATGCATAAAATCTTTTGAACACAATGTTGTATAGCAATACGATTTGTTTCATTTTCTCGAAATATACGTATGCTGAATGATACAAATAACATTTCATATGTGCGAAAATGGCAAAGGAGAAAATAAAATACAAACGCAAGTCATATCCAATATATGCTATTTAAGTGGTCGTGTGAAGTCAGAAAAGGTAGTAAAAGTGTTGAACTTTTCTTGACATCAAGTCCAAGTGATCAATCTTCCAGAAGAGATTGGTTCGGTGGAAAAATCGTTTCTTGGAATAAACGACTCTGAATAAATACATACTAGCGGTGAGTTTGACTTTTTTCCGGGCAGATTTGCTGAAAGCTAAGAATAAAGTTTTTAAATTATATAAAAATGTTATACTTTGTTTTATGGCTTACTACAAAAAATGTACAAGTAAACATTTTATTACATAAGTTCAGTATCTTATTTTATTCTAAAGAATTCTAATGAGATACTAAACAAATATTACTCTATATTTTTTTCTTCTTTTAAACTTACATAATTTCAAAGCTCTGTAAGCTTGATTATTCAAATGGCCAAAATCGTATTTTTAAATCTTCAGATATTTTTAATAACAGTCGACATTTATTTTTTTAGTTTCGTCAATTTTACTTAATTATTGATCTTTAAAAGGTATCGTTTGCCCATGTAATAATTTCTATTGGAATTGTTTCATGTTATGATTTTGTTTAATCTTTAAAGCAAAGATTAAGTAGTGATTATAAGAGAACGGAAACGGAGAAATCACGAATATTCAATTTAGTCAATCTTTATTTCAAAGCAATATTTTTATATATAAACCAATGTAACAAAAATTGAAATTAAATTTAAATTTAAATCTATCATGAAAATGCTTTTAATTTTTATCGTAGGTGTATTTTTATTTATTCAATAAATCGTTTTTAAAAAATCATAGAACGCATTATTTTTACTTCAATATTTTTATTATTGTGTTTTCAATAAATCCTCTCTGATAGCAAATATTAGTGCATATGATTGTTTGTCCAAACTGTATGATTGTCATATGTTTGAAAATTAACACATTACTGAACTTATTTGATAAAATACTTACATTTTAATGAATAATTAATTATTTTGTTTATAGTAATGTGATTTGCAGTTTACTGGAACAGTTTTGAATATACGGTGGAGACGCCATGTACACTTAAGATTGCGAACCTAATATGAAATTATGCATTTATATTTAAGATTGTTATATTACCTCAGATGTATCGTACATTAAATACATAAATTAATATCGATAAGCATATGTATTTACATTACTATGATAATTTATGTAAATATAGTATAAATCTTAAATATTTTCAAATGACGAACCAATTTGAACAACTTACTTTTAAGATACTTTTTAGTTATTTATAATCTAAAAAATATACTTCCATTTGCATAGTTAGTATTCACTAATTTATAGTGTCTTAAATTACCGCGCCTATATTTTCTTGTAACTTTATACTGCATCGTTACATTTTGTAATGCGAAACCTTACCGGCCGTTTCGATTTTTCTCGGTTTCTTGGAATGAGGAGAAAATGAAAGAGATTTTCACAAATCTGTAGCTCTGATGTTTATTAGCATAGCAAGGCCGGCACTTTGCTAATGGAATTTTAAATTCGGTGGCGTTCTAGTGTGAATTGCTTTAATCAGTGCGCAGTTCGTTTTAAACGTTCGTTACCGCTCAAAAGATTACCCCATTAGCAATGAAAAAAATATCTCGCTGTATGCGCGATGTTTAATTATATTCAACAAATTTAACAGAAAATGAAGTCTAAAGTTTTTTCTTAATAAGCGAGCTAATGTGTTGAGAGTTTTATATATTACATATGATCAAATGATAATGAATTCTACATTAACCGCTAATTTAGCTTATCTTGTAATATATAATTTCAGTAACAAACAATAATTTTTCCAAAGCTAAATATAACAAATGTACAGGTAACTAACTATATTATCACTATGACATATAAAAATTTTTAATACGTGCGATATGAATCTGAGTATTTTATTTGAAATAGTGTATAAACAATAGCATAGTTATAAATATATTTAATTATTTTAATAATTCAATGAAATAATATCTCAATATTAAATAAATACTGCATTTGCATTTTGTGCGTGATATGAAAACTCAATTATTATTTAATTTAGTAAATTGTTAAAATAAATAAGGACATGATTTTTATTTCTTCATTCAATTCAAGTAATGTAAGATAAAACTTGACATCATTAAATCCTGCAAATTATTGCTTCTGGTATATTTACCAGATTGGATCGTTTACAAAATGTACTTACCGCTACTAAACATTACTACGAAAATCAAATACACCATAAAATTGCCAATATTATTGGTCAATAGTTAGTCAACTATAAATTACATCTCATATACTACTATCATATTTGCATAATGATCAGTCCGAAATCCGCCATAATTATCACTCAGAAAAATCAATTAAATTTTTAATTGTATAATTCTAATTGGGTTATTAGTAGAGAAGACTGACTAGGGTTGTGCCAGGGTAGGGTTGTGACAGTCGTCATTAAAAAATGTTTAGTTATATATTGTTATATTATGCTTTGATGCTTATACCCATTGTTTTCTAACATATTTTAATGTCCCGTCCTGGGGTCTCCTAATGACACTATTTCAGTATTTCCACATAGACAAATGTTGAAAATACCATTTAATTTACATCTCTCTTAGCTAACTGATACATTAATAAAATTATTGCTGAATAAAATAAGTGGCACAGCCGTACCAAATCTCCCCTACATGCTATAATGATTTATAACAGATTGATTAATATCTGCCGAATGAAGATAACAATGTGATATATAAGATAACAAACAATAGATAGAAAACGTTGCGCTTCAGTAACACCGACTAGAATATAATTTTGCATTAGTTTTTATGAAACCATACGAATTGAAATTGTTATCAAATATTTTTCTCTGTACAAGTCTAAATATTCCGTGTTTCTTTGCATAGATGCCTGAGTTTCGGTTTTCATCGCGCAATAAATCACTGCTCTAGCAAGAGTGACATCCCCGAGGCAAATAAAAGGAAAAGAACGAGAAAATAATGGTGCATTTATCAGAATAAATCGCGTTCGTGTGATATATGATTAGTTACGGCTCTCTCCGGTTCCATATTTGTCATAAATAATGTTTTTTTATGACGCCGAAATGTCTGATGCGCTTGTTATATTGAATTTCGGAAGAAAATACATTATAGAACAGTTTTTGTTGTACAATCCGAAGGTCTCCAGTTCTAGGTTGTTATAAAATATGAAACTCGAATTGATTTATTTCATCTCGATGTTTGAAAAGTCGCAGCACTACTAATATTACATTCACAATGAAATGAAAAAATGTTTTTCAGATGGCTTTTCGATCTATACTTTCACCGCAGTGTTAATTTGACATGTTATTCCCGTTTAAAGCAGCCTGTTGTCAAGCAGTAATGACAACTATTGCCACTTCGAAATATTGATAGCAATATGTTTCCAAGTAAAATTAGACCTGATCGCGCATTTCTGCGTCAATTAATATATTCCCCCTATTAAAGAAATTTTAATAATAATTCATCACACCGAGATAGATCTGTTTGGGTTCTATCTGTAGAACTGATTAGTATTGAGTCAACAGCTCTTAAGTTCTTTATAGAACTTAGCCCTGTTTTTCTGGCTCATGCAAGAATTAGAAATAACCCATAATATAATTAATATGTAACTTTATATTTAAATATACAATAACTATTGAACTCACAAATTTTAATCTAAAAATATTAATTTTAAGTCTAATGTTTTCTTACAATATTTGAGATGTGGTTAACAGACAGTCATAAGTAAAGGATTAGATAATAAAAATTATCCTTTTGTGGTCGGTAAATTGTTTGTTTTTGTGTAATTCAACTTCATTTCTTTTTGTACAACTAAATGCGAAAGTTTTTTTTCTGTGTAGAAAAGAATTCTGAATTTTACCATAAAAGATTTCATCGGTTCGAAAAAAATACTCTAAATTAACTTCATAAATTATACTAATATATTTTTCATGAATATCACTAATATTTGGGCTAAATAAAAGTATTTCAAAGAATTTTGAGTAATTAACTATTACATTTTCGTTTATATTTACCATTTTTTGTATTTAATATTAACACGAAAAATTCTCACTTTTTGTGTTCATTCACTGCAAATTTCACTAGAACGCTTTTCCGAGGCACTAAAATAAAACTGTCTAAAATAAATTACATTGACGGTATCAATAAGTTGATTGATATTTCAGTTTGAAAATAGAAATATTGTTCAATTATATCTTCTGGTAAATTAAAATTCAGTTCTCATTTCTATTTTAAAAATGTGTTGTTGACGCCATTATCATTATAATTAATGTAGTATTGTACAAAAATTATTTAAAAGAAGTCCAAAGAATATAGTTTATTGTGTGAAATAATGCGAAGTTTTCTGAATCAATATTATTAAATCGTATAAACGATATTTTATTTTTTTATAACAATAAGTGAGTCGATTACATCGTTATCAAATGAGTGCATACAGTTTTTGCCGAATCATCGTTGATATACGAAATAATTTCAATATATAGCAACGATAACTTAATTAGAACGAAAAACAAACTGAAGTATTGATTTTGCAGTACAGTTATTTTATTGAAAACTTCCGTTATAGTTCCCATCGTCATGGAAATTGATTGACCTAATTTCAATAAAATTCAATTATTAACAAATTGCAATGATTTAAACGAAAAAGTTTCGACGTAGTGCAAATAGATTGGGTTTTACGAGTAATTAATTTTATTACAAATGTGCTGATGATCGATTACCGAAATTGTTTGAAACTGACTTCAACAGTATTATAGTTCGAGTTGTTTGTTCCACGTAATTAAAAACTGCATTTATTAATTTTCGTAATATTTAAAGATGGGTAAATTGTTCTATCGATATTTCGGTACAGTACACCATTGGTTTTGTACATGCATGTGTTAAGGAGATATTGTAGGGAAAATACGGACAAAATGGTATATATAACAAAATGGCACAGTGGCCTTAATTGAAAATTGGATAGTTTTAGTACCGTTTCTATGACTGTATAACGTTAAGAAAGCAATATCACAGTATTCTAGCAGTAATCAGTTCAAACGTATTTCGCGCCTTCAAAAGTTTATTTTGAGGGCGGTTTTCTCATGTTTTCTTAGATACTTACATATTATTGTTTGTAAGAATTTCTATTAAAATCAATTAACTTATGCCAGTTCTAGTGATTTTGATCAATTTTATCGCAATTGCCAGGTGTTTGATGGAATTTTTATTATTCGTGCATTTTTGTTTACTTTCGGACAAAATGACATACTTATACAATGTATACAACAAAATGATATAGTACAATTTTGCAAAAATTACAGGATAGTTCATTCTATGCCAGGTAAAAAGTAAATTAAAACTTGTCAAAGCTGATTGGTTATCAACTTCTACTCTAGTGCCAAAAATAAACCAAAAGATTTACCGAAAAAAAACTTTTATTTGTTGCAAAAACCTTTTTTATTGTCCTGATTCCAGCTAAGGTTGCTTACGATGTATAACTTGTTTCCTTTGGGGTCAAAATGAAAAGAGGACCAAACGATTGAATTGTCAACTTCTTAAAAATTATAATATCAGTATGTCCTTACCTTATGTCATTTTATCCATGAACAAAATGGTTTATGTAATTGCTTGCATTTTTTCTTAATAAATATTTTTATATTTTCTACTTAATTAGAAGACTATGTTTCTTGCAGTTATTAAAACTGGGTAAAAACGATTGAGACTGATCATAATAATATATAGAATAAATAAATATTATTCAAAAACAAAAAACTATCATTTTGTTCGTACATCTTCGAGTTTAATTATTTCTTGTTCGACCTAAACCGGAACCTAATGTTTAGTTAAACCAAACTAAAATTTTGTAGAATAAATTATTTTTAACCACTAAACAAAAACATCAATATATTTTACAAGAAATGATTGGAATGAAGTTAATTTCATAGTTACCTTTAATAGCACGTCCAAACTTTAACTGAAAATTTATAATTTCAATATTATTTTGAATTAATTCATTTAAAAATGTTGAATTACACAATTTACGAAATTAATAATGAAATTTATATGAAAGAGTATTTCATTTTCATTAAGCTGTCTGATTAGGTAATGACAATTGGTAGATAGTTAATGTTATCTACATATATTGCTAAATTACTAAAAATTTGTACCGTTTCTGTTTGCAAACATTTTTATATAATATGCATTTAAACGGTAAATCTATTACATACATTATTATTGATACCGAAAATAGTTGTTAAAGACATTTTGCTAGAATGATTCAGTGTACAGTGTACAGGTACTTAATTGTTATTAGGAAATGTTATCTATATTACTAAATTACTGTTTCTGTTTGCAAACATTTTTATATAATATGCATTTAAACAGGTTTACATATATTATTTTGATACCGCAAATAGTTGTAAAAACATTTTGTCAGAATGGTTCACTGTACAGTGTACATGTACCTCTACATATGGTATATTAACGTGGAAAAGTTATTATCTAATGCCCGAAAATGAAGTATTCATTTCTATAAAATCTATATAATTGCAAAAGATTATAAACAAAGCAAAGCATCTAAGCGCATGTATCTAAACTATATTTATAACTGAAATCTATATAATTGCAAAAAATTAAAAACAAAATAAAGCTTTTAAGCGCGTGTATATAAACTATATAAAAAATCAATCCTTCTGTATCAGATCATTCTTATATAATACACATTTAAACAGTAGATCAACTGCATATATTATTTTGATACGGTAAATTGTTGTTAAAAACATTTTGCTAGAATGGTTTAGTGTACAGTGAACAGGTACTTCTACATAGAGTATATTAACGTGGAAGAGTTCTTATCTAATGCCCGAAACTGAAGTGTTTATAACTGAAATTTATATAATTGCAAAAGATTGAAAACAAAGCAAATCATTTTAATGTATCTAAACTATATAAAAAATCAATCCTTCTGTATCAGAACATTCTTATATAATATGCATTAAAACAGTACATTAATTCCATACATATATTATGTTGATAACAAGAATAGTTGTTACAAATAGCTTTAGTTCACCAGAATGGATCGTAAAGGACGAATAAAAGTCTTCTAACTTTAGCTAGTTTAAAATGAAATCCAAACGATCGTTTTTGTGCTTAATTTAAAATAGATGAAGTCGATTTGTGTTTTTTCTATATTGCTCCGCTTTAATTTCCAGCAAGTATCGTTTGAATATTCAAATGCATTCTAATTTTATGTCCGATTACAGGTCTCGGGTTCCGGCCGATGCCGCCAGAGTCCAACGTCGAGAGCACGCTCGTCTGGTACCGGGCTAGCGAAAGCAAGAACATGGAATACTGGACGAAAGAAATCGATAACTTCCTGCACGGTCAGTATTTCTTGTTTTCGGAATAAATATTTGATATTGTTAAGCAATGCTGGTGAAGATGTGACTGGTGGGCGCTGATTTATATCATTTACTTCAAGGGGGTATTCTAGTATAGAAGTTTAGAACTAGTTTTCCAACTAGTTTAGTTCTTTATTTTCAAACTTCAATCCTTAAAGGGGCACAACTAGTGTGAAATTTTCAAAAAATCAAATTTTCAATTTTCCCATATTTCGATAGGTTAAATCTTTAAAAATAACATACCAAAATTTTAAATCGATATCTTAAATAGTTTTTGAGTTACAGCCATTTAAAGAGCATATATATAGTATATACATAGTATAACGATCATTTTATCTTTAAACGCGTTTTTCTCGAAACAGCAATTTCCGAATTTGCTGCAGCGATTACTCAAAAACAAATGATCCAATCATTACCATTTTTTTTATGTGTTCTATATATAGTTCTCCGTAAAATAAACTATCGATTATTTGATCGGATCAAAAATCGAATTTTGACAGTCCAAAAACAACCAAAATTTTGGGTGAAATTCGACTTTTTAAAAAAAAAACGCCGTCATTTTGTCAATTTTCGATTTTTTTTTCTTTATCGTAGTTCATTTTACAGAGAATATTATCTAGTTTAACGATAATTTTTTTTTAAATTTCATCCACGTAGAAGGCCGGAATCACTGCAGCAGTGGAGGTCCTTTTTTTTGTTGCGCCGTTGGAGATCGACGATAACTTAAAAAATATTTAATTTCTTTCTTCAAAAATTTTACTAAAACATCTATAAATATATTCCTAAAATTTTGAAATGATTGATAAAGTAGTTTTTTTTAATATAAATTCCCAAAAATCACCTTTTTTAGGCGGTTACACTAGTTGTGTCCCGGGCCATGTCCGTAAGGCGTAATATTTGCTTCTGGCCCGATTATCGTACGCGGGCTATGCCCATAATATTTACTTTTGGCCTAGCTATTGCACGCGGGCTCTGCTCGTCATTGTAAGTTAAGGGGTTAACTATTAGAGAATATGCATACAAGATTTTAAATATTCAAAATCTATGAAAAAAATTTTTCGGAGCAGTTTGGTCACCTTTGTTTCGCCTTCCTTCGCGAGTATTCTTTGCAGACTTCTTTTCAGTACGAACTACGCTCATCACCAAATGCCGATTTTTACTTTTTGTTACAAAATTCGAATTTAACAAAAACGTATTTTTTCAAGCAATTGCTATTTTGTGAAAAAAATTTAACTTGTCCGGAGTCCATACGAATGCGCCATTATTCTAGATTAATAATTTGTTTTCATTTTTTACTGGATTATTGGCAGAGTTAGAGTCAGGGGTATTTTTTTAGACTCATCACCGGCAAGAATTTAGACAACTTTTTGACTGTTTTTAATTTTAAATCCTTTTCTGTATTCTTGAAATATTAATTGGTAATATATAAAAAAAAATTATATTAAAAATATTGTTTGCCCTTTTTACGGTCTTTTAAAAATCACATAATCATGTTTCCCTTGAAATACCCTTGAAACTTTTTTATTGCGTTTATTGATTATTAAGAGTATCGACGTACAAATTTGAAAAATAAGTTATTAACGCAAATAATTATATATAAATATGTATAAAAGGAAATTATTCAAAGTAATATTTAAATTGTTGTCGGTAAACTTATTTATCATTATTCATTTATATATATATATATATATATATATATATATATGTATATTTTATTATTAGTAATGTAATATTTTTCCTTTTTTCTGGTTTTCATATTCATATTATTATTATAATATATACACACACATATATATATATATATATATATATATATATATATATAAAATTTTAATTCTTTGTCGGAAATAATTATATTTAAGCTTGTGCTCAACACATCACATAAATGATGTAAAAATCAAGCCGTATCTGTGTCTATCATCTCTACAAATTATTTACAAGCTTATTTTTGATGTAATAATAATTACCAAATTAATTTTTTGTTATGATCTCCTTAGTTTACTATTGGCTAGTTTCATTAATTCAATGTCTTATGTATAATATGATTTGTCTTATTTTATATTACTAATGAAAATTATTTACATTTGATACCTGATTTCCCGCCTGAATGTATCAACAAAATCTTTTCGAACTAATGAATTTCTATTTCACATACTAAACGAATCCTTTTTTCAAATTGCATTTTACTTTCGATTCAAAACTTGTTCTCTTTGTCTTTGTTGTTCATCGTTTTGACAGTCTATAACATTTATATTAAATTTTTTCATATAGTACTTTTATTAGTTTTTAATATACGCATTCATTTCGACCATATTTTATTAAGAGAAATATGTATTCGTAGAATTTTTCATGCGCTATTTTCAAGTTTTTTGTTTTGTACAATGTTTGAATAATTAGCATCGTTATATGTAGGCGTCTGTCCTTCAGGAGTATAAAATCGCGTTGAATTCATGATGAATTTTATGATAGAAAATATTTTTTGCGGCCCTTGTTCATCTCATATTTAAATAAAAAACGTTTTACTATAGAACTACACAAATAACGTTTTTAATTGATTATTATTTATATTGCGAATAATCTGGTAGGAATAGTAGGCCTATTTGATTTTTTTATTAACAAATTGACTTCAGCATTTATAATTTCGTATCGTATATCATTTGTATAAAGCTACTTTGAAACGCGTCGCACTAGTTGTAAGTTTTGCAGATGGTTTCATTTTCATGAAAAATTTTATTATAAGTTCAGAAGAACTAAATTATTTAGTGATTTTTTTTTATTTTTATTGTTATTTTCCAAAATAGGTTTTTGAATTATAATCGTTAGCCGTTTGTAATGATTTATAGTTATAGTGAAAATTAAGCGATTATTAGATATTCACATTAGTTTCTATTATTCATGGTATTTAAGTTTTTCCCTTAATAATAGTAGTGTTATATTATTTGACGCAGAAAGTTGAGATTTCTAGACAAAATGTCACTGTATACCAACTATATACTATTCAAATAATAAATGTCTTCAATCATGTTGGATTTATATACCGGATTTTTATTGAAAAGCTAATTAATTATTGAGGTTTTTTAAATTATTAATTTATTTGCTCATTTATTTTTCAAGTCATAAATACGTTATAAACTCTGAACGATTACAGATTCAGAATAAAAATTCAATTAATTCTCAATAGTAATGAATAATAGTTGATCAAAATATATGCTATTTAACAAACATTATTTCATCACATTTATAAATATATGTATAATGAATACGTTTAATTATCTCCTATATTCAGGTCAATAAATTAAAATCATATTTACCTACTAATTTTTGATACGCCGCGATAATTTTTCTCCGAAACATTTGTTTCGTTTCCCGTACATCAGTTTGCTTGAAAATGCGGTTGTATCTTGAAAAATATGTTTATACGGAACCCTTATATTTTGATATTCTAAACACGTAGTTCTAAGTCTTTTCTACCTGTAATATCAAAGTTCGTAGCCGTTGCTATGGATTTTACATACAAATTGCATTCAAGTACAACATTAAATTTAAATAGCTTTTTCGTTCGCAATTAAATTATAAATTGCCAGTTACATACTCATTCTTATGACGTGGTTACATAACGCACAAAGTAGTTACTTTCAATATTGTTATATTAAATATTAAATGGAAATTTGAAGCACAAGTGTTATAAAGTGTAAAACCGTTTGAATTGAAGTATTTATAATATAAAACAATTTTAATTAAATGTTGCATAATGAAAAAACTTGAAAGAGTAATTTTAATTAGTGATTTAAAACTGTAGCCGTGTACTGCACTTTTGAGTAATAGTAAACAACTTTTCTTATACACTTTTGTATATCGCGAGCAGCAGCTGCACTTGAGATTCTTTCAGAATTTTTCAGATTCTAAAAGAGTACATCGTTTTAGAGGAACATTAGCTTTAGTTGTTTATATTTTTTCTATTTATTTTGCACAGCAAAATTGGATTTATTAATTCTGTAGTCGTTATTAACAACACGTGCACTGGATACTTTTACTTATTCCTCGCAATTAATTTGGTAAAAAAAAATTATCAAATTAAATACTCGAAAGCTTTTAGTGGTCCTAAAAAGTGGAAACCCACATTTAGTGAAACCAATAACTATAATCGAAGATCTTAACTGTCTTATTTTTCATTTATTACCTACTGCGTAAATTCATTCAATATATTTAATAGCTTTGCATTAATACCTATAATTTTTTATTTTTTCATCTTCGTATGTTTTGTAATTTGTTTGCGCTTTCTTTTATTGAGTTATCTATAAATTGAGCCTTCAAATTGTATAGTACTTTAAATGGTTAAATTTATTTAAATTCATGTGATCGAATATAATATGAACACCTAAGAAATGGCATCTACTGAATCGTTAAATATTGGACGGAAATAAGTGAAAGGATTTTATCCATCATTATGAAGTTACTATTTAACGAATTTTATCTGATTACGTATTTTGTATGATCGAAAAAATAAAGGTTGAGAAACTATGATCTACGGAATAATATTATTTCAGGTTATACATAAGTGTATTACGTGAACAATATTTGCACAGTGAAGTGCTTCATGCGAGCTTTCTGAAAGAACTTCCTAACTGTACAAATATTTTATTTGAAAATAAATTAGCTTTGCCAATAGGTGCTTTAAGTATGTTATTAATAGGGTTTCAGTTTGGTATTATTTCAGTATGTGTAATTGTTTAATAAAGTTTGTGGAAATATTGAACTAGCAAGAGTAAATATATAAGGCTTTAATTCAATTCGAGCCATAGTAACAGGCTTCTTTAGTTATTTTAGTTATTTTGTGATGTTTTTATATAAATAAAGATGCAAAATGATAATGATGAACTTTTAGTATTGTATTAAATTATCATACATGCGAGTCTATATTGTCGAAATATTAAAAACAATGCACTTAATCCAAATTATGAAATTACTTCAAATTCATGTAA